CGAATTATTCGTTATACATTCCGCATAATTCGTTATAGCGTTAACGAAGATTCTTATAACGAAGTCCTGATCGGCTGAATCGGCAACTTCGTTATATCGAGGTATGACTGTATACTAAACTGAATCTTCTGAAATAGAGGGTTTGTTATAACTAGAGTTAACTGTAGATAGAAAATTTGATAATGTATTATATTATATAATTAATTTATACTTCTGTATAATTTTGATAAGCTTAGATAATATGTTCAGATTTACTATCAAAAAAAATAGACTTTTTTACATATGAATTTAAAATATTATTTCTGGGTTTATTTTTAGTTATCTTAATATTTAAATCAAAAGGTTATAATAATTGATTCTACATATTTGAATTTCTGAATTTAGGATTTTTTTCTAAATCCTATAAGTATCCGTTATACTTGAATTAACTCAATAATTTATTATATCTTAAAATTTAAGATATATTTAGTTGAACTTATAATGATAAACTCAAAAACAAGTTAATTTAAAGTATTATAATAAATCTTAGATAGGAAATAACATTATAAGAAAAAGTAATTTGTGTAGATTTAAATTGATTTTTTTATTATAATATTAAATTTTATAAAAGTTACAAATGAATTAATTTATAACTTAAACAAAAGCTATTTTATTTATACAAAATTAATTTGCTATATAAATAACTATTTTATCACATTATAAAATAAAAACTTTTAAAATAAAATCTAATAAAAATATAATAAAAATACTAAAAATAATAAAAATAATAAATATAATTATAACAAAATAATAAATATGTAAAGAATTTAATAAAATAAGCTAATCAAATAAATCAAGTAAATTAGATAAATTTTATATATTTTACAATAACAAATCAGATAAATCAGTCTTATTAGATAGCTGACAAGCTAGCTCATTCAATTTACATTTATATTTTGAAATGAAAATTTGTCAAGAAAAATGTTTCTTTCTAATGCAATATATTGGTCAATTTTGATAATATAATATAAGATTTTTCTTAATATGATCTATATAAAATTAAATTTGATGACTTTTGTAAATTATTTCTCTAAAGCTAATTTTTAATATTAATAATATATTTATAAAACATTTCTATCCCTTAAACTGTAAGTATAAAATTAGTTCTAAAATATTTTAGAAACTTAAAATATTTTAATATCTAATGATTAATAAAAAAAAATAAAATAAAATTTTTAGATTTATCATATTATAATATATTTAATAGTAGTATTTTTAAACTTTTAAAATTCATAATTATTAATATATATTAATTTTTCAATTTTTAATTTTTAAAAATAATTTATTATTTAATAATTACAAAACTATAAAATTTAAATTATTAGATTCATCATATTAAGATTTATTAAATAGTAATATTTTTATATTTTTAAGTTTAATAGATAGCAAAATATATGAGTTAAAATTTTAATTTTTTTTTATAATAATTTATTATTTATTTATCTTTGAAAAATCACTAGTTAATTATAATTTTTTAATTTTTACTTAGAAAACATCATAAAATTTATTATTAAAGTATTAATTTTTTAATAATATATTTTAAAATAATTAAAAATAATTATAATTAATAAATAAAATTGCCTACAAATTTGTAGGTAAAACAGATTTTATTTTTTAAATATATTTTGCATATATTAATAATCACTACTAAATATAAATTTTTAACTACTAATAAATTATCACACAATTTTGATAAACTTAAATAATATATTCAAATTTTATTACCAGAAAAAATAGGAGAATAAAATTATTTGATTAATTAGAATTATGTGTTTTTTCTTAAATTTATTATACAATTTTAATAAGCTTAAATAATATGTCTATTAGAAAAAATAGAATTTTATTTATATGTATATTTAAATATATATTAATAAAATATTTGTATAATTATCTATATTAGTTTTTATTTTAATTATATATTCTATATAAATAAAAAAATAATATTATCAAAATTAATTACATACAAATTAAATTTTTTTTAAAAATTTTAAATTTCAATATATTTATCGATATTATATTAAGTTTATAAAAGTACATTACCTTTTGAATTCTTTTAATAAGATAAATTTAATGAATATAAAATTATTAATTATTAATTATTAAATTAAATAAAATTTATATAATATTTTTAAAAAATAATATTTATTAATATTTATCATAAAATCTAAAATTACTATCTTATTAAAATAATTATATTAGTTAAATATTATTATTAAATATTGATTTAAATAAATTTAAACATTATAAATAAAGTTATTAAATGAAAACTAAAGGTTTTATAAGTTGTTTAAATGATAAAAAGTAAAATTTAGCAAAATTATATTAAATCTTATTAAAAAAAAGATAAAACTATATCAAAGCTTATAAAAATGTAAACTAAATTAAAACTTTAATAAAAATTAGTAAAATTAAAATTTAAATATTTTTGCCAAATCCAAAATAGATTTAAATAAGTAACCTTAATTATAATAATTTTAAATTATAATAAATTATATAATATGATAATATTTTAATCATTTAGTTTTTTTAAAGGATAAAATCAAAATAATTTTGATTATTTCTATTTATCATTTTAATTTCAGTTTCATATATGAAAGGTAATTAGTAAAAAGGGAAAATCTACCTAAAGATTTAAATAATAAAAAGGTATTAAAACTTATAAAAATGATGAATTATATCAAATATCAAAAACTTTATAAAAAATTAAGATTTAGATATTTAGATACATAATTTTAAATATATAATAAATCTTTTAATAACCATTTTTAAAAAAAATTAGTATAAATCTAAAAGTAATAATTATAATAACCTGACTTATTTTTAATAAATAATAAAAATTTTAATATATAAATATTTTTCTAATCTATTATATTTAATAATATAGAAATAATATTTAAGAAATAAAAAAATTTAAATACTTTTTTATTTAAATAAATAATAGATAAATCATTTTCATATTTATATATTTTCTGAATTTACTAGCATATAGACTTTTAAATATTTTATTTAAAAATATATTTTATACAATTTAATATTAAAATTTTAATCCTAAATTATCATAAAGCTAAAAGTTTCTTTGTCTTATTTATAGATGCATATTTTCAGCTTTTTTTCTTGATAGTTTCAACAATTCTTTTATTTAGGCATTTTTTCATATATTCAGTATAAATTTATTGACCTATAATGAGTAATTTGCCCTGATTATTGATTTCACATCTAAATTTAATCCAAAAGTTATTAATGTCATTATTGCTTTGATTTACTATTTTTTAGCATTATATTTTTTTGATTATTCTATATAATTAATTTTATCAGGTGTATATTTATGTCAAAATTTTAATTCGGACTTCTTCAATCGAAGACTGCAAATAAAACAAATTCTGCAAAATAAGAAGAAAAACCAATGAATGATATCGTTATTACCACTCATTCAATAAATAATCATTGTAAAGGAAAATAATGGGATGCAGGGGCGTCTTACGTGAAACCATGTAAAATACTAGTTTGGACAAGTTGTTTGCCAAAAAAATTAATTTTTTTTATATATAAATGGACAAATTGTTCATCAGTAAAAAGATTTCTCCTCATTAAAAAAATGGAATACCTTTTTGACGAAACATTAATTTCAACTGAAATACAAGACTTGTTGCCATCTAACTTAAAGTTAAGACCTCTCGCAAAGGATGATTTTGATAAAGGTTGTTTAATCTTCATGATTTTTGAAATTCTAAGAGATTGATTTTGACCGAAAGGAGATTAGAACGACATTTAGTCAAAAGTGATACACGAGCTTCTTGGTTGTGTAGTGGCGCAGTAGACTTTTATTAAACGAATTTTTAACGAATTAGGAATATTTAGTTGTTTGGAACAACTTTCTATTATCGGTGATGTTTCACAACAAAAATTTGTCGGTAAAGTTTCTTTTATGTACGGAATTCATTTCTCGTCTATCTTTTTTTAATTTTTTTTAACTTGATTTCGCGATTATTCTTATTTAACAAAAGAACGATTTGAAGAACTAAAAAAAGCATATGGATATTATATAATTGTTATTGAAGATCTGGATCAAGAAAAAATCGTAGGTTTAGGCACTTTGTTTGTAGAAATGAAATTTCTAAGGAACTTTGGAAAGGTAAATTCTTAATTACCGTGTGATTTCAAATCAATAAACTTTAATTGTGTAATCATAACTTTTTCAAATGTAACAATTCATGTAAAGGCCGGCCATATAGAAGATATTGTCGTACATGTTTCACAAAGAAGAATGAATCTTGGAAAAAGGTAAAAAATTTCATGTTCTAGTTTTATTAAAGCAATTAACGTGTTTTAAAATATGTATTTGTTTCAGGATTATCGAGCAGCTTATACATCTTGGTAAAGAACTTGGATGTTACAAGATAATTTTGAATTGTAATGAAAAGAATATTCCCTTTTATGAAAAATGCGGATTGACTTTGAAAGATGTGCAAATGACTTTGTACAATGAAGTAAGGAAAGAAGACTTGGGTGTTGAAAATTTTGCACCTCCAAAGACTGACCAATAAACTACATGTCAATAATCCATAATTTAATTTACAAGTATAAAAATTATAGAATTATTTTATTTATTTAAATTATTATATTCCTCATTCTTCAGCATCTTTTTCAGAAGAGATATTTCTATGAATTTTACTTTCAGTAATTGAAGACGAGGAAAAAGAATCAAATTCAATTTCTCTTCTTCGAACAATCTTTTCTTTTCCCTTTCCTTTTTCTTTTGTTTTTTCTTTTTTCTTTTTCTTGAGTGTCTTTGTTGAAACAACAACAGCTTCAGGGATAGAAGGAGGATTACGTTCTACAACTTTAGCAGCCAAGACTGTTTGATCAAAATTTCTTTCGCGTTTTTGGAACTTAGCAATTTGGGCTAATTGTTGTTCTTTCATTATTTTAAGTTGAGCAACTCGTTGTTTTAAATTCTTAGATCGTAATAACATTGATAACATTGTACTGCGTATATTTTGAAGTTTGCTATTATATTTGGGAATTTTTGAGAACTTTGAATTTTTAAAAAAACTTATATTAATAGAATTATTTTTTTTTTTTTAAAAAAAAAAAAAAGGTTAAATAAAAAAAACACAGACACTTAATGCTATATACTCATAATGATCTTGATTTTCCATCTTTATGTTTGTTGTCTTCAATTCATCCAATAGAAGTTTTTGTTTCTGCCTGTGAAAAAAATTTGAATATTGAAAATGAAATAAAAAAATAAATATAAGTTTAAATATATTTTTACTCTAATTCTCGTAATTGTTCTTCAACTTGCGCTATAGTTGGTATTACATGAGCTAAAAAGCCTTCAGACAACATTGGAATAGCAGGATCAATTTTTTCCGACAATTCCTTTGCTCGAGAACCTTCCACTTTTCGAGCTGGTGTATTTTCCGGAAAAAGAGTGAATGAAGCATCAGGCACCACAAAATCAAGAATTGTTAAAGCTGCTGTTTCAACTGCCGTCTCTAAACTTATAGTATCGTTAGACATCTTGCAAGGAAATGTGTAAATTAAACCATCAATTTAGGGCGTAAGATTATTTCATTCAGTGATTACTGATAGATAAGATATTTTAGATTTATTGGCTGACTTTGAGTAACTATATGATAAAATATAAATAGTGTTTCAATTTTTCATCTTATTCAATTAATCTTGCTGAACAAATCTGATTTTTTTTTTCTTTCTTTATTAAAGAATTATTCCTTATTAAAATTCTTCAACGATGGGTGATGCACCAACAACGGTAGCAGCAATAAGTCCAGCTTGTCCAATTTTTGCATCTTTCTTCGGCTTTGGAGGGGTAGCCGCTGCAGTAAGTATAATAGTTAATAGTTAAATACAGAATTATTTTAACTTATTATAATCTTAATAACTTTATGCTTTCGTTGCAACTTATTATAGATGGTATTTAGCTGTAAGTTATCGTATTATGTCCTTGAATGATTTTCGAATTCATTTCTTATTATTTTATTTATCTTTTTTTTTTTTAAAGCGATCGGTGCTGCCTATGGCACAGCAAAAGCAGGAATTGGTATCGCCGGTGCTGGTACATTTCGACCAGAACTTATCATGAAGGTAAAGCTTGTATTTAACTTTTGATTTGAATATTATCATATTCATATATATTTGATATTATATGCTATTTTAGTCACTTTTACCGGTTGTTATGGCTGGTATCATTGCCGTTTATGGTCTCGTAATGTCAGTTTTAATAACAGGAGATAGTATGTATTTAAATATCTTTTTATTAATATTGTGTCTTCTAATATATATATTATATATATATATTTGATCAAATGTTAAAGATAAATCATTGCATTTTTAGTGTCACCAAATTCTAATTATTCTTTATTTACGTAAGTATTATAATAAGAAAATTTAAATCTGAATTTGAATTAAATTTATTTTTATTTTTATTTTTAAATAAAGTGGATTTCTTCATATGGGATCTGGACTTGGAGTTGGACTTTCCGGATTAGCAGCAGGATATACTATTGGCATAGTTGGTGATGCTGTAGGTTTACGTTCAATTCTTTATTTATTTATTTTTTTGCAAAACATCCAATTTTAATTTCTTCTAACCGTGTTTTTTTTTTTTATTAAGTGCGTAAGAGCTCATGCACAACAAACAAGACTTTATGTAACCATGGTCTTGATTTTAATTTTTGCTGAAGTATTAGGTCTTTATGGTTTAATTGTCGGATTAATTTTAAATACTAGAGCTGAAAATAAATGTTAAATATACTGTATAAGGAACTATGTTTCTGTTCTTTTCTTTTAGATTCTTCAATTGTGTTTATTATTTTTCAATTTTTAATAATTTATGTAATTTTAAAGCGAAAAAAAACCCCCTTGCAAGAAAATATTAACTTTTTTAAACTGTGATAATTGCAATATGTGAAAATTTTGGAGGTAATTGGTTTAATAAAATATCATTAAAATATATCCTACTTTACACGATGCATTTATAGTATATTTTCATGGGTTCCGAAATGATGTAAAATGTGTTTTATACTTTGTGGCTTATAGATTATTTATTTGTAAAGAACTTAATTTCGTAAGTTCATTATTTAAGAGTTTGAAAAGAAAGTGTGATGAAATATTTGCTAAGATGGAAGGAACAACTCCTAATTTCTCCAAAGTATTTGTACTAAAATTAGGTCCAAAGATTTACCAGAATGTAACTTATATTTTTTTGTGCCACGTTGATTTTAAGTCCATAAATCAATTACTTGATAGAACATCTTTCCAATAATTACTCTCCTTCATCATCAACCACTAATTTTAGAAATTGATCTTTTTGAGACTTTCATTATGATTATGAACACGTCTTTGTATATAATCGAGATGAATTCCATGAAGTCCATTATTACGAGAATACCTAAACTAATTTCGTTTTTTCATGATTACATTTTTCTATAGCTTCATGTCACGTGTAGACATGTTCTAAAGTTTAAAATTTTATTCAACTTCTAAATATCTATTTAATGTCTTAGAAAAAAAGAAGCAATTAATCTTCCGTTTTATTATTCTCATCTTCAGTAACTGATTCTTCATTATTCATTCCCAATGTTGCCCTAAGTTGTTGTTCATACGATTTCAATTGTTGTACCTCAACTTCTAATGAAGCGCAAGCAACTTCAACTTGAAGAGTCTGGCCTATCATCTCATTCCATTTATTATTCAATGCTTCAATTTGATTCCCCGCTTGAAGCTGGTTATAAATATACGAGCAAAGAATACAATTAAAAAATAGGTATTTAATCTTTTTTCAAAGGAATAGTATTTATCTACCTGTTCAGATTTTCTCTGTTTATTCAAATCTAAAATTTCTTGCTTATATTCTTCCATAATCTTTTGATACTGCTGCAACTCATGTTCTAATTGATAATTATGAAGTCTCCAAGCATTGGCCCCATATTTTTGTAATAATTCTAAATTGAACATTCTAAAGAAAAAAGTGTAAATTAAATTTAGGCCGATTTTTTTACTTTTTAACTTGTGCAATTTTTAATATAATTACCGTAAATTTTGATGTTGTAGTTGTGCTTTGGAATTATCAACAGCTTTTTTCCAACCTTCTTGATCTTCTTTATCCTCAGGCTCTGCTAATTTATATCTACTTGTATCCATTTCGGCAATAGGTTTACCTTGTTGAACACGCTGATATTCTGTTGTAAGAACTGGCGAATCCTAAATAAAAAGGGTGATCGATTTAATTCAACTTAAGGAGAGGGTAATATAAAATTAACCGAATAGGTCTAATAGATTTATTTGAAAAAAAAAATTATGTTTCACACCTACTTTGAAGAATTCGAAATTTGCTGGAAAATTCAATACTTGATCGCGTTTTAAACTAGCTGGACGTTTTTTCATTTCTTGTTCAACAAGTTTATCGACCTTTGCTCGCATTCCTTTTTTTTTTGTTTTTTTTTTTTAAAAAAAAACATATTGTTAATATATAAAAGTATTATTGTTCAAATGTGGTAAAATAAAATATGTATTTACCTTCATAATCTATCTCTTGATCAAAGTCTTTTTATAAGAAAAGAATAAAAAAGTTAAATTACATGGGAAAAAAGCAAAAAAAGGCTTGAATGTAACAAAAGATAGTTATTTTACATGGCAAAGAGTCTATTAAAACATCGGGACGTTCATTGGAGTCCATCTTTGAAGTAGTAATGAAAAAATTTGGCAAAATTTTTTGTTTTGGAAGTTACGTAACCTGAAATCATAAATCACGATGATATTGATCTAATGTAAATCGGGAACTATTTAACGATATATAAATTTTTTTTATTAATAAAATTACATTAGCAATTTAAGAGATAGTAAAGCTAATCAAAAGATAAAATAACATTATAATTAATTTTTATTTAATCATGTTATATAACCTTTTGATGAAAAATAAAATATTTATACTCAAGTTGGCCAGTTACCATTTAATTGATATTTTCTAGTCAAGCTTCTCACTTATTAATAAGAAAATTATAAGACCTTCGAATCAAATATAACTAATAAAAAAGAAAAAAAAAAAAAAAAAACTGGAAAGAATTCTTTAGTTAAAGTATTTTATAATAATATGATACACGATATATGTGTGAGTTTCTTATTATATTTGATTCAAAATAAAAAATTTTTTTTTTTTTTTTTATAATTTGTTCGCATTCACCCATAAGATTTATACACGTTTTATTATTATTAAAGCTTTGAACATGATTTTTTATATTAAATAATGATCGAAAAAAAAAAAAAAAAAACCCGTATTTCTTTTGACGTGTAATACAATAGGAGTTAATTATGAAATTAACTATAAAGTACAATTTGTTTTCTTATTGGACATAGAAAACTGGAGGGCCTGTAACTTGTTCTAACCCCTGAAATCTAAATGTTCGTATACCCAAAATTCTGGCGCATAATGATTTCGTTTTCGTTCTTCTTTTGGAACAAAATCCAGTTCAAAGTCTGATATGTCGCAGCAACTACTTCTTCGGTTGTTCCAAAGCGAACATTTTAATAGTTGGATGGCAATCGAATATTTATTCAGATATCCAAATTCAGTTGGGATCCAACATTATTTGTGCAATGAACTCAAGAAATTTCCAATGTCGGAAATCGAGTTTTTTTTGCCGCAATTATGGTAAAAGACTTTAATTTAAAATGGTTGTTTCTAAATTTAGGAGGGTATCTAGTCATGTAATCGTGCTTGAACCTCTAAGTTCACCGGCAGAAAAGTTTAACTCGTAGATTTAAATAGCAAATTAGAACACTGTATTGATCATTACTTCTAAATTTTATAAATTCCCTTCAAAAAGTCACTTGCTCATTAGTCGAACTACCGAATCAGTTGCTTTGGAGTGTTTTATATTAGAAAATTGCGAAAAATCAAAACATATGGCTATTCTGGTAGTGTAATTAAAAAATGATTTAAATAATAAAGAAAAAATTTTTTCAAAAAAAAAAAAAATTGAATTAAATGATATGAATCAATTATTATCGTATTTTTTTTTTTTAGACATTATGGTACCTTCAAGCGTATTGTTCAGATTTGTCCTCCAATCCATTTTCTCCTGCCTTTACGATTTGCAAACGTGTCTTAAATAAATGCCAAGCAATAGTATTTGACGAAAATCTAATTGAAGATGACAAAACTTCTTCAAATCGTGGCATGTCTCCACGACAAGTGAAAGAAAATACTTTTCCTGCTCTGGTTGGTATAGGTGCCATGCTAGCAGGCATTGCTACACCAATGTTAACAAGAAGTGCTGGACAAATTGCTATAGCGCAAGGAAGGCGTGCCAGAGCTTTTAGTAACTCAGGAAACAATGGATTAGCTAGAAGAAGAACACATACTGGAAATATACGAACTCTAAGGCAGTCTCACGAAGATTCATCTAGTGATCAACCTGAAAATGAAAATTCAGCAACGCCACCTGAATTAGAAGACGATGATCATAAAGAAGAAATAAAAGTCGAAACTTCTTTTCAGGACTTAGTTATAAAAGCTGATGAAACACCAGATATTCATGTTGAATTGGTTTCACCATCGTCCAAAGAAAATACTCAAGAATCAGAAGATGAGCTGACATCATCATTATTAGATCCTTCAAAAGTTAACGGACAATCAAAACCTGTTTTCGTTAAAGGTCATAAAAAAAGTTTATCCAGGTCGTCTTCATCATCTTATCCTCATCGCCGTAATGGTATAAATGCGACTACATTTACATCATCATCTCTTGATGATTTACATAAAGGAGGCTTGATTTCATCAAAGAAATATATTTCAAAACCTCGACCGCAATCAGTTGATTATCCACCATCTAGTGTAGACCATGATGATGACGGAGACGATATCTCTATTTATCGTATTTCAACTGAAATCTCAGATAATACTTTGTTGGAAGAGTATGGTCCAGAACTGCAAAAACGTCTTCTAAAAGGAAATTATTTCCACTCAGAAATGCAATTCTTGTTAGCTTTACAGGATATCTCAACAAGATTAATTATTGTTCCCAAAGAAGCCAGGCAAAGTACACTTAGAGGAGAATTAACCTTATTAAATCATAATTTACCTGCAGAAGTCTGTATACCCCTTTGGTGTCCAGCAACAGCTGAGAATCCGCATCATCATCGAGTTGTTAGAATTTCTCCAGTTGATGCAGTCGTGTTAAATTCAGCAGATCGGGTACCGATTTTTCTTTATTAAATTAAATTTTTACTAGGATTAAATAGATTTCATTATGGATTTTTATGTTTAAATATTTGGTGCCATTCTTTCTCTTTTTTTTTTTTTTTTTGCTATTTAGGTACCCTATTTATTAATGGTAGAAGTTCTTGAAGGAGAAATGAGCTTTGATATGTCTAAGTTGCAGACTCAAAAATCATTAAAGCGTCTTCTTCATGATGAAAAAAGAAGAAGAGGATCGTTTGATACATCGATATCTTCAGAATCAAATAAAAATGTAAACAATTTAACGAAAGTTATTCATGAACAATCTAAGGAACAATCTAAAAATATTAGTGGTAATACGGATAATCCAGTAATAGAAGTTTCAGAAAAGGAGAATAACGAGCAAGAGAATACCAGTGAAAATCACGAAGAAAATGATGCTAGTAAATTAACTGATGAAGATAAAAGCAGTAAGACAGAAAGTGATAGTGAAAGGCCTGTATCACCATTATCATTATCAGACGCTTCAAATATAATAACGCCAATTCCCCGTAGTTTGTCTACCTATTCGCGTTCTTCAAAACGAACGGTGTCAATTGATAAACTTCCATCGATAACGTCAATACCTCTAGCCCCTGTTGATGAAACAGGATTACAGCAATTAGCGACGGATACTGTAGTACGTTCAACAGACTCAATTCTACAAATGCCTAAAGATAACCGAGTTCCTTCACCTTCCCCAACTGCTTTATATGTCCCACACGTTCCACAAGTTCCTTCTGCTCTTTCCGTTCCTGTTGCTCCACCGGTTTCGCCTACTCCTTCTACTACTTATACACCTACAACACCAACATTGCCAGAATCCAATAGTGAATATTTAAAACAAGTAATGAATCGTCGTCAGTCCAATTCTGCAGATGAGTTTGCTGAAAGGATGCGTACCGCCGCTGTGATGCTTGCTCAACTGAATCATGCAAATCAATTGCGCACTTCCTCTACCGGTGAACCCATTCAAAGAACAAAGGCTGACACTGATGCAATAAGCAAAAAAATAATTAAAGAAATGATGTGTTTGGAAGAAGAAAGGATGATGAAAATGACAACCCAAGTTACTAGCGGTGTTGGAACTAATGCTGGAGCTAATGGTGGAGAAGGCGGTGGTGGTGAAATGTTGGAAGATGAGAAAAAAATTTTAAGTGCTATAAATAAAGAAGATCCTAGTGGTACGATGAGAATAATTTATCTTATCATTTAAAAATTTATCAATTTAGTTATATTAGTATTATTCACTTTTTTTTTTGTATAATTGATCAGCGGCCGTTTTTAGCGAAGATTGGGAATCTAAGAGAGAACGAATTCGTAAAGCATCTCCTTATGGTCATCATTCAAATTGGCGACTTTTGTCTGTGATTGTTAAGACTGGTGCTGATTTACGACAAGAGCAACTAGCATGCCAATTAATAAGAGAGATGCAACGAATATGGCAAAATGCTGAAATCGATGTTTGGGTTAAATAGTAAGTTAAAATACTTTTTTCTTAATTACTTACTTTGCTAAAGTCACCCCGAAGTGGCTTCGCTGTCGTTTTCATTAAAATATTTATATCCTTCATGCATTATAATACAAATTAGTTATCGTGTATTAGTTACATCTGACAATTCGGGCCTGATAGAAACAATTCAAAATTCAATTTCAATTCATTCAATTAAAAAAGACGCTTATGCTAAAAAGTTGAATGAAAAAGGATTTATGTTCACTTTATTCGATTATTTTGTTAAGGTTTGAACTTTTTTTCCTTTGGGGAGAGTGTTTTTTTCCTAATTCTTTTATTCATCTTTGTTTTCTTTAGACATATGGAGATGTTTCCTCTGAAGCTTTTTTGCGTGCTCAAGATAATTTTATGCGAAGCTTAGCGGCATATTCGCTCGTTTGTTATATTCTTCAAGTCAAAGATCGGTAAGATTATTCATTGTTCCTCCTTCTTAATCAATTATGATTTTTCATTTCATAGATTAATTATTCAATTAATTCGTTAGTCATAATGGAAATGTTTTGTTGGACACAGAAGGTCATTTAATACGTAAGTAGTCTTTCAAAAGTAATCATTTTTCGATCGCGACTAAATTTCCTATTTAAAAAACAAATATTTATGGTTATTAGATATCGATTTTGGGTTTATGCTTTCAAATTCTCCAGGATCGGTTGGGTTTGAACTAGCACCATTCAAACTGTCACAAGAATATTTGGATATTCTTGGTGGTATAGCGAGTGAGAAATTTGCAGAATTCAAATCATTGTTAAAGCAATCTTTCATTGCTTTACGGAAACATGCAGATAATTTTGTTTTATTAGTTGAAATGATGTCCAATGGTAATCAATTAATCTATCAACTAATTGACTATTTTTTTTTTTTTTTGTTAATGGATATTTTATAAAAGGGAAAAAAAAAATTTACATTTTGATACTTTAATTTAAATATTTAGATTCGAAGTTACCTTGCTTCATTTCTGGCGAGTTAACAGTTGCACACTTAAAAGAAAGATTTCAACTCTCTTTAACCGAACCACAATTCGAAGAATATGTTGAAAGATTAATTATGTCTAGTTGTTGTAATGTATTTACCAGATTATATGATACTTTCCAATATTATTCTAATGGTATTTTATAATGGACAAGAAAAGGTCAGATATTGATTTCTTATAAAAAAAAAAAAAAAAAGAATTTTTAACTGTAGACTCGAAATCATTTTCTTTCATTAGAGAGCTTACCTTTTTTTTTGGTATCACAAAAAAACTTCCATGATTATCAAAAAACTATAATTTATTGTTTATTACTTGTAAGATAAAGTCAATTTAAAAATAATACTCAAGTGATAATTGATGTTTGGTTGTCTGTTTGTTTTCGATGTAATTATTCATATATTTATTTAAAAAGTTCAAACACTAATTAAATTTGATTTAAGAATATATCAATTGTAAAGTAGTATATATAATAAGTAGTATATAAATTATTGTTATACAATCAAATAAAGATTCCTCTTTTTTTTTTTTTTTTTTTTTTTTTTTTTTGGAATTAAAAATACCTGTTAAAAAATTAACTAATCATTTCTTCCATGATATAGATAAAAATAACCTCAAACTTTCCATCTAAAGTATTACGTGAACAAAGATTTAAGATTTCTCCTCTCCTTGTAAGATAGTCAAACCTTTTCGTTTATCTTGTTTTGAATATTCTTCCTAGAAGTTGAAGAAAGCGTTGATCAACTGAGTTTATTAGATGTAGGTGTACTTGGTATAGCAGATGATATTTGGGTTTTCTTGTAATTATTACTACGAATTTCAGTATCACTTGCATCTTTTTCATCATTTGATAATTTATCCGACCAAAACCTAGCATTCATAGCAGAATCAAATTTCCTGTAATACGTATTTTCGGAATAATCAATGTTTTTTTCTTTTGATCCACGTTGAGGTAACTTTTTTCTACGAGGTCTCTTAGGAGTAGATTTAAGATTTTTTTCATCATCTTGAGATGAAATGTCAAAATAATCATTATCAGAAGATCTTTCTCTTGCCGGCATAGATAAAGATTTTTTCCTTTTAGGTTCGTCGTTATCATCATCATCTAATCTGGTATAGAAAAAATCTTGAAACTCATGATAATAATGATTAACAGAATAATCAATTTTTTGTGTAGTTGCAGCACGTTGCGGAAGTTTTTTACGACCTCCGTAATATGGCTTTTTGTGTGCAATTAATTCTGACGATGAATCTGAATAAAATGTTTCTTTCTCCTTTTCATCATCTAAATATTCATCATCATCATCATCGTTTTCATCATCTTCTAATCGATATTCTTCATCTTCATCCTTTTTACCATCTTCTTCGTGTTCATCTTCTAATAGATTTTCTTCATCATTTTCATCCTAAGGAAATAAATTGAAAAAAAAAAAATATATATACATACATATATATATTAAATATATTTAAAACAAAGGTTTTCCGTTTGATATTCGAAGATTCGATTGTAAATAAATAAGTTTTTGATATTTGAATATCGATATTCATTTTTTAATGATGATTGCCGAGCCTACTCTTCTTAAAGAAACTTTTTTTTTCATCGCCGAAATTATATTTTGAGTTATTTGAATTCCTTGAATCAAAATACATTAGATGTTGAAAGTAGAAAAACTCTTGACGAAACTATTTTTTGTAAAGAAAGGGTTTAGGCAAGCATTTACAACTTTCAATTTTTTTTTTCTTTTAATATCATAGAAATCTTTGTTTGCCAATAATTAAAAACTCTAATTAGCATAATATTTGGTAAGAGAAGTAAAACATGAAAAATAAAATAACATTCAAAATATTCGAAATGATTTTATATTCGAAATTAATATTCGAAACCATTTCGATGTTCGTTTAAAAGTCTTAAAAAAACTTGAATTTCAAACGGAAACCTTATTTCATATTATTTTAATAAATCATTACCTGGATATTATTTCTCTTCAATCGTGTTCCTTTCCCACGGGTTTTTGGAATTTCATCATTACTTACATTCACATTTACTACTATTTGTTTTTCTCTGACTTCTTTCTCACGAGCTTTACGTCCTACTGTCACTGGCTTTTTAATAACTTCTTTTCTACTACGAGTTCTTGGAGCTTTACGAGCTGATGTCTTTTCTTCAACTTCTTCCAAGAAATTTGTTTCATTTGATTGTTTTTGAATTTTAACTCGTTTTCTTTTGAGGGTCGTCATTTAGTCATTAACGGTATTATTAACTCCAAACGAAAGTGTTTTATAGGCTTATATCTCTGTATTACCCAAAATTAAATTTATTTTTGTTTTGTTTTGCGGTAGGATCATATGATCAAATGATAGCTTTCATTTGATTGGCCAGATAGGTTACATTGAATTTATAAGTATATACACACGTCACGTGAAATTAAATAAATGCTCATAAATGTTAAATCAGAAATTCTATTAAATATTTATTGACAATTGAAAACCTTTTCTAATGCAAATATTACATCTTTTACCAATTCATTTTCATATTATTTAAGGTTAAAAAAAATAAGTTTATTATCTATTTTTATATAAATTATATAAAAATCAAAAATGATATTATTTTATTTATTTTATTTATAAAGTCATCATATTTATATAAAAGATAAAAAACAAAATCTAGCTATTGATGGATGAACATCACCAACTGGATAAAATTGATAAAAATATTTATATAATTTATCTAAAGAAAAATATATAGATAACTTTTTAGCAGAAAAAATACTAAAAATAATAAATTTAATCAGAATTAAAAATTTAGCTGCTATAAATTTGATAATAAATCAAATATAATTAAAACATGTAATTTAATACTAAAAAATTTTTAATGTTAAATATATTATATATTATTTTAATTAATTTTAAATGATTTTAAATCATAATTTTACTTATAAAATAATAAGATGTTAAAATATTAAAAGTTTGTTAGAAAAATTAAACTCTAAAAAATTTTTTGAATAAATTAAGATATTATTAAAATTTTGTTAAAAAATTATTAGAGTATAATTTTTTAGCAATTTTTTTTTATATAATAATTAAATTTTAAAAAATCATATATTGATAATATTTTAATTAATAAATTAATTACATACAGTCAGAACTTGATATAACGAACCCTTTGTTCAGGTGATTTTGCATCATTATATCAAGTATTCAGTAAAACAAATATTCTTGTTATATTAAACTTACTATGTAAAATTTTTATAATTCAGTTTATTAATTTTTTTTGCAATATATGCTTTATTTATTAATAGAAAATATACTATTATGCATTATATTATTTTTTTTGATAAAATCCTATTTAAAAATTACAAATTCATCCAAATTTAATTAAAGTGCAGATTCAGATTTAAATTTTAAGACTTTTCTCCTAATTCCCTTTAAAATCTTTAATTCATTATTAGTAACCTCATAATTTTCTGGTAGAAAATTTTGAAAAGTAATTAAATTTTCAACACTATTTAATACATCACTTAAAGAAATATTAAAAATAAATTCATCTTTATCATCTTATGTTTCTTCTGTATTATATCTTGATTGCACAGTTTCAATAATTTTATCATCATTTAATAAAATCTCATCTTCACTTAATTTATCAGCATTAATATATTTCAATACAGGTAAAGTATCATCATATGGTAGCTTCTGCATAGCATCATTTAAATCATTTTCAACATTACTTCTATCAAAATTAAGCTTTACATTTACATCTAACCCATTATCTAATGGAATAATACTAGTCTTTAACCAGCAATTTTTAATTGTAGTAAGATTAATCTGATTCCATGTTTTAACAACAAATTCAATAGCATTATGAATATTAATGAAAACAATAGACGTATTTAATTCTTGTGAAATATCATACTCTTCAACTCTATTTTCTACCAATAATTTTCTGTATTTAGCCTTAATTTAATAAAAAAAAATTAATAAAAATACTAAAATATAATTTTAAATATAAATTTATTGTACTTACTTTGAAAGAATTAATGATTTCTTGATCTAAAGGTTGTAAATATAGAGTTGTATTAGGTGGTAAAAAATAAATCTCAATATTACTAAAAGAAGGTAATTCATCTTGTTTACCATGTGTTAGTGTATTATCAACCAACAATAAAATTATTTACAGCGCATATACATTAATCCATTTAATTTTTTCAGATAATCAAGCCAAATTGATTGTTGCATCCATGCAGTTTTATTTTAATTATATTGAACAGAATCTTTAATAGCTATACTATGCAATGGACAAGGATTTTTGTATTTATAAATAAATAATAGTTTAAACTTATCTTCACCTGTAGTATTACATATCAATAAAATAGTTACTCTATTTTTAGATTTTTTAGTTCCAGTTACAGGTCCTTGTGCAAGAGTTTTCAATGGTTCTAATTGCCAAAATAATGCTAAAAAAAATAAATAATAAATAAATCAAAACATTTAAAAATTAAGTAATAATATTATATATTTAATTGAAAATACCTGTCTCATCACAATTATAAATGTCTTCCAATGCATATTCAGATAATTTTTACCATTTTTTGTCTATATTCATCAATTTCTTCTAATGAAAGTCTACTGGTAGCTTCACCCGATTTAATGTATGAGCGAACATTATTTCTTCTTTTAAAATTTATCAGCTAGTCCACAGAAGCAGTAAATCCAGTAATGCCAAATTTAACTGCAAATTGCTTAGCTTTATTTTGTATGATATTACCTCTTAATGTTTGATTTGCAGCTAAAAATTGAGATATCCAAATTCCAATAGCATCATCTATTTCTTTATACATAAGTTGCCTTAACCTTTTCCTTTCTAGTTCTGAATTAAAAGCAGATAAATATTCAGATTTTCTTTTTAAAATATCACTAACCATATTAGGTTTTACATTATAATAAGCAACAAGTTCAATATTTGAAATATTCAGATTATCAATTTTCTTTTAACAAAGTTCTTGCTTTTGAGATACAGATAGGGTAACACGCTTATTTTTATTATTTGTAAACATGCTAATGATATAAAAAAGTTATTGAAGGAGATGAGTTATTAATAAAAAATATATTTTATAGTTAACATTCATTATTTTGCTATATTTGATAAAGATCGATAAAAATTGGCATATAGAATAAAAAAATTCTTTATAACGATAATTGATATATTGAAAAATAATCAGTATTAGCTAAAGATGACGCCTCAATTAGTTGCAACAGGTGACAAATAAGCATCACAATGTTGCAACAAATTGCAACATTATTAAAATTTAAGTTGCAACAGGTGACAAATAAGTGTCATAATATTGCAATGCCATATTTAGTATTAGCTTATCATGAATAAATACATATAACTGGTTTATGATTTGACATCAGTATATGTAATATTGTGAAATTTATAAGAAAATCAGTATATAATAGTAAGATTAATTATATATAGTTTTGGTTTGAGAAAAAAGATCATTATGAGCCAAAATTAGTTTATCCCGAATTGTTATATTGAATTCTAACTGTATATTAAAATAAGATAAATATAAGTTAATAAATATACTAATTTAATCTTATATTTAAAAAATGTCTTATTAAAGTAAATAAATAATATACAGTAACACCTCTATAAGTATACGCACTTAGGGCAAGCCATGCACATGTACTTATAAAGAATGTGCATTTATAAAATAATCAATAGAAAAATAGATTTTATTACACAAATTAAAAATCTGACAAAACTTTAAATTCGTTTATTAAACTTTATTTATTTAAACAGTATTTATTTAAACTCATGTATTTAAGCTAATTTTATATATTTTTAAACTCAAATGTATTTATTTAATCTTAAATAAACTCAGTTTATTTTCTAATACATAAAGCAACATATTTAGAACTCTTACAAGTAGAATTGATTACAGAAGTAAGAAAAAACGTGTCTATTTCAGAATCACAGACATAAATTACTTAATAAATATACTACAGTCAACTCTTTCTACAACGAATTTTGATATAACGAATTTTACAATACAACGGATTTTCAGTGTCAGACAG